TGTCTTCATGTAGGAAGTGAGTTTCATGGTAGAAAATAAATCCTTCTTGGTTTTAAGATGCATTTTGTATACAGTGTACAGTAGACTGCATTCCGGAAGCTTTAAGTTATTTATACACACACACACACACACACACACACACACACACACACACACACACACACACACACACACACACACACACACACACACACACACACACACACACACACACACACACACACACACACACACACACACACACCGAGGCCTCGCTCTAACCGGCTCATCTCCTTCCCCTCGGGGTCAGCGACACACTTCTGACGAACTCCTAACAGTGCAGTGCTTCATAAAATGAAAACACTATTCAACCTGTGTTTCGCAGACAGGAGACAATAGAGGAAACCATTGAAACAGCAGGAGGAAAGAGAGAAAACGCAGGAGATCTGATAAGAGTCTACGGGCTGATCCACTGAGAGACACTCGCGTCCGGAAACTCAAAAGTCAACAACTTCCTGTGCTTCCTCTGGTTTCTGTATAGCGGAAAAAATGAGGTTCCTACCTAGCAACACGTCAGTATCATGCATGTAAACATCAGGAATCAGGAAGTACTCTGTCCTGAATTCAAATGCTTACTTAAGCAAAAGCTAAAAAGGTAATCAGACTTTATTTAAAACTAAAAGTAATTCATTCAAGGAGATGTTTATATTGTGCTGACAATCTGAATCTGCGTTTAAACTATGCTGTCAAACACATGCAGTGTTTGCCACCAAATGTACCGTCTTAAAAACATTCCTTATTTGGGAGTGGCTTTTATAAAAGTACTAATTAGTGTATAACATGTATACAAACACATGTCTTCATTTAGGGTAAGCATATTGGAATATATAAATAACTAAAAATCAACAAAAACCTTGTGATTTTTTGATACACTTTGTTATTATTTGGGGCATTTTTTCCCTTTGCTCTTCTTAATAAGAATCATGAAGTAGCAAAATAAGGATAATACTAATACTAAGTAAAGTATCAATAATCACCCCAGAATTGTGCAAAAGTGCAGTACTTGAGTGAATGCAGGTAAACAAAGTAAATCATGAATGTTAGCTTTTTTTAAAAAGACTGTCAGAGCAGCAAAAATATGTGTTTCTAACATGTTTACCTTTCACGTAACGGGACAAACACAAACACTATAACATGATAGCAGACTTCCATGTGACCCTCTCTGGACGAGCACATGATGAACGGTGAGCTGAGGCATCCACTTATCATCCTCATCAGCATGTTGTCTGAAAATAACAGGAAGTCCCACATCTCAGTTTCATAAAATAACGTCTGTCCTTCCTTGAAGTTAACGACACATCTGATACGACTGCAGTGAAGAAGCTTCATCAAATCAGGGCGCAGAGCTCAAGTACTGTTCTCAAGTATTTGAAGGTACTTTCCATTTTGTGCAACGTTATACTTCAACTCCACTGCATCTCAGAGAAGTATACTGTAGTTTGTGAAGCTTTGTGAATGTCTGAAGTGTTTCTCTATGTGTCAGTTCTTCTCTTTTATAAGTTGAGTGAAGTCTTTAAAAGCCTCTTGGATCAGCTGGAAATGCATCGTCTCAAAGCTGAAAACAGGGCTGTTCTTCTGAGAAACTCATGATAAGTGGACTTTTTAGAGATACGTGGTTCTCGCTACAAACATATGATGATCCAATGGAATATGGTGCACCCAAAACATCAAATTTATTATACAGAAAAACACTGAAAGGGACAAATGCAAGATAAATAATTGCTATGATTACTTTTACTTATCATGGAGTAAGTACATTTTGCTTCTCTAAATACAGGATAGCTGCATTGATAAGTGGACTAATCGATAAGTTGATTTTTTTACAGATAATAACAATGATTTAGTTGTTTTTCAAGCAAAAAAGCCAGAAAATACTATTATTTCGCCTCTCAAATACAGAGATTTCCTGCTTTTCTGTGTTTAGAATCACATTAAAGTAATATATATCTGTTCTGAAGAACAAAACAGGACATTTATAGACATCACCTTCAAAATAATTGTTAGTTGCAGACCTGAAATACAGGACTTTGTCTAATAGAGTAGTATTTTACTAGTTATAATTAGTCTAATCCTAGTTTTCACTATTTTCTCACACGTTAGAAACAAAGCAATCATTGATTCTATAAATAAATAATATACTATCTAATCAGGATCTGCTAGATATGCAGTTTTACATTCCACTTTTGAAATGGCTTGAACAAAATGTGCAATAATATTCCTTTAGTAGCTGCTTTGGAGCTTCACAGTGTCACACCATCTTTTTCAACAGATTGAAATGTTTCTTTTTGTGCACACTGTGCGGTCTTTCCAGTGCAAAAGGGAGATTGAAACTACTGAGAAGTATCATGTGACACAAGCCAAAGCTACAGAGCAGATAAATAGACCTTGAGGTTCTCAAATATGTCTCCTTGGCATGACATCTTATCAGAAATGCATGCGTTTGGAGGTCTGCTGCATGAATGTTTGCACTTTGAAAGATAAATCTGCATCTTCATAAGTGAGGGTATTTGTGGTGTGCAGCTGTGATGCTTTGCGGAAGTAGACCGAGCAGGAAGTGAAGTGGGCTGTCCTCATTTTAACGGAACACCGAACCTTTTTAAGGCAACATAAATCACATTATTAACGTGCAGTTTGTGAAGCTGTATTACTGTATCCCAGGCTCAGTCTGCAGTGGATACATATGCTGATTATTCTCAGTTGTTCCCAGAGTATCCACACACAAAGACATAACAAATACATGTATATCAAGTGTGATGATGAAGCGTTAAATGCAATAATAATCTTACCAATGTTATAAACAACACTTCCCTCCACAGTGCTAGACTTATTTAATTTGAGAAATACTGCTGCTACTGACTATGGACTTGAATGTGTACTTCTAATCATTTTTAAATACTGTATGCATGCCTTGTTATACAATACTGTTCTATGTTCTTCTCCTGCTGTATCTATGCTTTGCTGTAACAACGTACATGTCCCCTTTCTGGGCAGAATGAAGGAATTCTGACTGTGGTTCTGATGCCTGTTTTGATGCTAAGCTAACAGCTCTACCTGCTCGGCCAGTTTGAGGACAGCCATCTCTGGGTCCTCCTCTCCCCGGTGCTCGGAGCACCATGCACGGCTCCTCTCCTCTGCTCTCCCCGGGTCTCCGGTCCTCCCCCCGGGTCTCTCTGCAGCGAGGGTCGGTGCAGCAGACTACCGGTGCTCCTACAGCCTTTTAGCGGCTTCTCTATCACACTCAAGCAGGCGGAGGGTGATGGTGCTGAAGGCCGAGAACCAGGGCCAGCAACCCGGCTCTTCTCACTCTATCCGCGGGGAAGCTGCTGCGCCGAGGCGGGTGAAGCAGGAACGATTTAACCCAAAAATAATCCACATTTACGGGCTGCTGGTGCACGGAGCTCCCCCTTCAGACACCCCCCACAGAAGCCTCCTCCTCCCCGGTCTGCAGAGCCACAAGCCTCCCGGAGAGAGAGGCTGAACTCAGCTGAGACATACAGGAAGTTGGAGCCTCTTCCTCCTCCTCCTCTTCCTCCTCTCAGATGCAGAAGCGAGGAGCAGCTTCCTCAGCATCAACAAGCAGCTCCTCCTGCTGCCCTCCTCTGGACAACCAGGGAGGAAATATTTAGTTAAACAACTACAGCCTTCAGAAGGAATACAACAAAATGCATGAAAATGTGTTTTATTTATTATTTTTACACTAAAGCTACATGATGTAAAAAAAGAAATTGGAAATTGTATTTTCTTGTATCATTAAAAACCTTTTGAAACAACCTTTTGTTAATTATTAGATTTTCATTGACAAATTAAGGGTAGCTTAAACACTATAATAATATTTAAAAAATTATATTAGGTCAGACACTTTCTTTATTATGTTTCACACATTAAGGGATTTTTTGTCAAATTCAAAGAGATGTTATGTAATGTAAGAGCAAAGAAAAACATGCAAATCACAAGAAATGTAAGAAAACTGTATTAAATAATGCTTTGTTGTTTTTTTTGTTGTTTCCTGTCAACCAAATGGAAATGATTGTCCCACAATCTCCAGCTCGTGTCACTCTCATGCAGCCGTCCATAATGATTCACTGTGGGAAACAATCTATTCCACAGTCATCTCCCACACACACACACACACCCACACACACACACACACACCAACACACACCACAACAAACACACACAGCACAACACACCATGTATTTTTCCATGGAGACGCATTCCAAATTCATAACCCTTGCCGAAAAAACAGCATGAGACCGAGCTTAAGATGGTTGCTGGGTTTAGCTGGTTTTAGCTGGGTGTTAGGCTTGGTTTTTGTTGGTTTCCAGGCCTGGACAAAGCCTGGCCAGGCTGGTCCTTGCCTGGTTTCAAGACCAAGCCCTGGTCAGCCTAACACCAGCATAGACCGCATGGATGTCAATGCTGGTCCATGCTGGGTGAAGCTGGTATTTATGCTGGTCCCTACCCTGCAGTCCTTGCAGGCAAAACTGAAAACAGACCAGACGAGAGGCGGGACAACGGGGGAACGGCAAGACGTCAGTGGTTGGAAACAAATCAAATCAAGTTTCCATTTATATAGCCACATTTAAAACCGCATTTTTGGTCGAGCCAACAGTGCTGTACAATGTATAAAAAACACATTACTACAATCACAATAAAAGACAATAATTTACAAAGAAATATAAAAAAAAAACACAGGGAATAGTCAGGTGTCATGCTCCCGCTCTGACTAGAAGGCCAGAGAGGAAGGAAGTGAGTCTTTAGTGAGGATTTAAAAACCACCTAGGTCTGGGCCGACCTCAATGGGAGGGGCCGAGTGTTTCCAGAGCCTGGGCCAGCTGCTGCGAAGGCTCTGTACCCTCGGGTTTTGAGCACTGGTCTAGGGCACTACGCAGCAGCAGCAGAGTTTCGGCTTATAGGCGGAGCCAGCCCCATTTAGGGCTTTGAAAACAAATAAAAGGATTTTAAAATCAATTCTGAACTGGAACCTGGAAGTCAGTGCAGTGAGGCCAGAATTGGGGTGATGTGGTCACGCTTTTGTGGCCCCAGTCCCAAAAAGACGTGCAGCTGCAGTTTTTTGGACTACTGGCAGGCGTCTAATTGAGGGCCTGGTCCATACCCACATACAGAGGGCGTTGCAGTAATCCAGTCTCGAGGTAACAAAGGCATTAATAACCCTTTCTAGGTCTTTACAAGATAAATACGACTTGGTCTTGGCCAATAGTCTTATTTAAGAAAAAGCAGGATTTGACTACGGTCGGCAGACCTGCATGTTCGAATTGAAAGTGCTAGTGAAGGTCACTGCCAAGGTTCATGACAGAGGGGAGGATGTTTTCCATTGAGAGAGCCCAGAATAATCAACGGAGAGGCTGGAGGTTGGGGTCCAAAAAAGATGACCTCAGTCTTTGCTCTCGTTGAAGATTGTGGAGTTTTTGCTCAGCCAGGATTTTATCTCTATCAAGCAGTCCATCAACTGTTGTAGTGAGTGTTTCTGACTTTTTTTTGCGAGAGGCAGATAGATCGTACATGTCGGCGTACAGTGGAAGGGAATAATTGGTTTAGTGAGAATTTAACCTAGGGGTAGTAATGTACAGTAAAAAGAGGATGGGGCCCAGGATAGAGCCTTGGGGACCCACAGGTAAGAAGGGGTCCTTTAGCAGAGGAGAAGGCACTATCTTTGTAATATATTTATATTCGTCTAGTTTAAATAATCATAACCAGTATTTAAATAATGTATACTGCGGTCACCTGGAATTCCTGGTCAAGCTTCCAGCCATGGTATATTTATACTTTATTGAACATAAACTGGTGATAGATGGACTCTGGTGACCGCCCAGCATACCAGCATACTATTCTGGTGTATGCTTGTGTGTTTTTAGCTGGCCAGGACGGCTGGGTTTAGCTGGTTTAGCTAGTGTCCAAAACCCTCTAACCCCAGCCAGGGTGGTCACCCTTAGCCTTGGTCCCCCAGGCCCTGGTTTGACCAAGCTAAGTTGGTCAAAGCTTGTTTTTTTCAGCAGGGATCTTCACACACACAAACACACACACACCACACACCACACACCACACACACACACACACACACACACCACACCAACACCACACCAACACACACACCACACCACACACAACAACACACACCACACACACCACACCACACACACCACACAGAAC